AGAGAATTTAAACAAAGCCACGATTAATATTTCCTTAGGAGTTACTATTTTAAAGTTAAACATTCATAACTAGAAAAATTAAAATGCAAATAGATTGGAAAGTTTTTTTCTTCCGAGCAAAACGTACACGAGTGTTAATTATTGAAGGATTTTCTAAATGAGATCAAACATTAAGCAGCTTCGGCCTTGTTTCTATTCTATTAGTTCCACGGTACTAATGAACAGACTTGGTGCATAAACTGACGCATTTTCATAGCTGAAACTTAAAGAAGAAGAAGAAGAAGTAGAAGAAGAAGAAGAGTATAGGAAATCTAGTTGGAAATTAAATATGATATGTCAGTGTAAATATATCAAGAACATACATCATATTCCTTCGCCAATATCTATATTTTTATATAATTAATTATACAAATAATGCCTATTAAACAATGCGCCCATTGTTTAGTCGTCCATTTCATTTTTGTTCTTTCTTTAAATATCGCGTAAATTTTTAATGATAAATAGGTGGGTGGGTTTTTGAGTGCTTTTAAGCTGAGATTTTATAAATAGACCGAACTACGTTATTCTTCGTAAGTGTTTATTTTGTCCACGTAATGGCCTAGTTGTTATAACATCAAATTCTAATTTATATTAAGTAAAATCTAATACTTGTGCTCTTAGAGCATAAATATTTTACTTTAATTATGGTTCAACGAGATTGGCAAGCCGTAATTATCAGTAACGACTTCGTAATAATAATTATTACTATTACTGCGAACTTTTGTTAATCGTCGGGTCAGTGAGGAATAAAGGCAACTTTTTCAAATTGACATATAAATTATTTATGCCATACCTGGGCCACTAATCGTCTCCCTTAATTGTCATTTCCGTATTCTTCGACTGATCTAGCGGTGGACTGATTTTATCAGTGAATGCATTTGTAATGGACGATCCAAGTGGCATTGCACAGATCAGAGCTGACAATTATTGCAGCGGCTTATATTAGATATTAATGTTTTCAAGTAAATTTTGCCCACTCGTACGATCGAGCGAGATGTTATGTCTCATAGAATGGAGCGGCCGCGGGATGCTTTGATGAAGATTGCCGACAGGTTAAGCCGAAACGTCAAATGCTTGACTCGTGTATTAAAATTCTCAAACTCTCGTACAACGAATTAATTATCTTAAGATAATCGCGACATAGATATAGACACAACGATATCGATCATCCGTACATTAAGGCAGCTTTTGTAATTTTCGAGCCGTTAATAATCTTCCGTCTCGTTGTGCCAATGATTAGCCTGTTGAGTATCGCGATCGGTGAAACGTAGGCGCAGCAAAAAGTACGCGCGTCCGTGGAAATCGATAATGTCGCGAATGCGAACGGCAGAGGTGTCGGGAAACCGCCGTCTGTCCTTGACGCGAGCGCGTCGTCCTCTTTATCCCAACGTTTTCGCGATATGTAGCTAACGACGGGAAATGGGCGCCGTTGTGGCGTCAGTGGGTCAGAACGAGTGCGTGGGTGGTATAAACGCCGTCTGGTGCATGCATCTCTGCCTGAAATTTAATCGGCAAATAACTTCCGAGCGGGCGGGGCGGGAGAGGGCGGGATGGACGCGTCGGATCTGAGTTTCAAGAGAAATTTGCAATGTAAACCGCGTAGTGGCCGGAGGTAGGTACGTCGATACGAGATCGTACGCGGAGAAATGTCCGCAGTTCCCGTTGGGCTTTGTAATGTATGCGCGAGCATCGAAAGTCCGCGGGCCAAAGTGGATTTGGAGGTCTTTGCATCGGCCCCGGCGACGGAACTTTTGATGTTCTTCTTGTTTTTCCGTTTCGTAGTTCAGTGGCGAGAAAGGCCCCGTTGCGTCGAGAGTTTTCGCGCGGCGAATGATTTTACCAGCGGGAGTCGCGACAAGTTCTGGCGAAACGCCTGCAATACTATCCGGGAACGTTAGCTTTCTTTGGCTCAAGAGGCCATTAGGTACACGGAATTTCCGAGCTAAATGGGATCGCGCAATGTGATAAAGTCCTTTTATAAATTGAAACGCGAGTGCCTTGTATATTTTGATGGGAATAAAGTTCTCTGCTTTTTTGATATCGTGCATACTTTATGCAGCACTTTATTACGTCACGATATTTTTTATGTTAAGGTACCTGAGTTAGTTATAAATTTCCCGTCCTAACGTTTGAGCTCGATTTTCATACGAGCGAAATATTTATGTGCATCAAGGATAGGAAAATCGATTGCAGAAGTATCTGATTTTCTCGATCGGCTGTTGTACGTGTGCTTTTGACAAATTCTCCACTTGTCAGCCATGATTGACTATAAATATGAATAATATTGAGAGGAACTTGACTCGCTTGTCGAATAAACAATAATTTAATTTCATACATAAACGTAAATAGACACATACGCACTCGCTTTTACAATGACATATATTTGAATAAATATATTTGACGATGATTAATTTACACTTAATGTAAATTAAAAGCGAATTACTTAAATATCTACATTACTTACAATTTAAGCAATTACCTGGACTCTTTATTATCTTTACGAGCAAAATTTAAGCAATTCATTGGTTAATTAGTAATTTACTTATGTCGAAATAATCATACAATTCGTCACTTACTTATTAACATCTTATGCTTTCCTTTTATCCTTTAATAATGATTATTGTATTAACAGATTAAATAATAGTAAATGCTCTGCTCAGATGATAGTATATATTATTAGCTTTTTAAATGCTTCGGCTTAACTCTAAACTTTACATTATAAAACGAATATTTTATTTTCATTCAATATACATTATAAAAATTAAAAATATGCGAGCTGTTAGTTTTAATAAAATTTATGAATAATTTAGGATGATATATATCCATTACTCTGAATTTCTTAGTACATACACACACGTATATATATATATATATATATATATTAATCAAATTTATTAAACAAGTTTAAACGAGTTTATTAATATAAAAATTCATATATAAATTGATTATTGTGTCGATGATATGCATAATTATTATATATCTAATACTATTTTATTCAAGTCTTATAAACAATAAGTTAGAAAGCACCTAAAATACAAACCAGAAAAATCATTTATTAATTGATAAAATCTATGAATTTTTAATTTATCATAGGGAACTATGATTGGAGTATTTATTATATTTTTTACACTTTGGTATAATAAATTAAGTAATATTTCAATAGGACACTTCTGAATTTTCGGACTTTTTCCATAAATAGAATTATTATTGTTGTTTACTACTATCGTTTTTGATTCCATATCTTATAGCATAGCGTATTTGTTTGGGTAAAAAAAAAAAAAAAACACAATAAAAAACTTGTTCTAATAATTCTATTGAATTTTTCCATAGTGCACGACGTAGATTTTGTCCTAAAAATTTTAGTATTTTATTACACGTATACATACAAAACATTGTTATAAAAAAATCAACTATGAATTCTAGGTAATAAATTATATGCTATCGAATAAAGTACTCTCTCTCTCTCTCTCTCTCTCTCTCTCTCTCTATCAGCTCTCGTCTCTTAATTTATTGATTGAGTATAGTTTATAATTTTGTAAAAGATGTGTCTTTTATAAATTCTTACTTATTATCGTATATTGGCAATAACATTTTATTGAAGATTGATGATGTAAATAATGATTCGTAAAGATTGCTTATTGAAGAAAACAGCTATTTTTCGTAAAGACGGCTGCTGAAAGATCCAATATTTCGCCAATGAACTAACGGTTAATATGCTGCCAAATACAGACGATCGTCTAATTAAGAATTTATAATCGTCGGTTATATTGGTTGATATCATGAAACTGACGAGAAAATAATACTTGGATTAATCGTTCGAGGCAAAAATCTAAATACGTACTTGAGAGTCAGCGAGCGTCGAGCAATTTGCAAAGCGCCGCGACACAATGGGAAATTAGAGTAACAATTCGAGGTGCCTTATAAGAGCGAACAATTAAATGTACTCGTATTATTGCATCAATTCTTTGACCCGAAAGTTAACTGGAGAGTGAAGAGGTCAAGGTCGAGAGAGAGAGAGAGAGAGAGAGAGAGAGAGAGAGAGAGAGAGAGAGAGAGTGTGAGAGAGAGAGAGAGAATAAGGATGGGAAGGGGGGAGGGGGTGCACGGGGTCGAGGAAACCGTGAAAAAAATGATTTTCCTAACTCTTGACGTAAGGCCGATTTAGGCAAAGGCCACGTAGTTGATCCTCGTGAAAACTTCGCATGGATCCCGTTACTTTTCAATCTTCGTCCGAAAACAAGTTTTGCTGGTGGCGACGGGGCATATTGTTCGAGGCTCTGACGTCATGCCGGTGGGTGTGAAACTGCCGAGGGCGAACGGGACCTTGAAATCGATGAATCTTGATACACGCGGTATTTAGAATCTACCACCTACTTTCAATCGATTCATTCCGATTTCTCCTTTGGTTTTCGATTTCGCTCTTCGCTCCATTCCTCGCAGTGATAATAGGAAGCGCGTGGAGCGTGTACTCTCAAGCTTATTTGACTCGCTCGCGTTTTCTAACGCAAATGAACGATAAATTAGCGCGAGGTTCTCCGATGCTCGACTACATGAAAAAGAAAAAGAAATACTTAAAGCTTAGAAGAAGGTTGAAAATCACGAGCTGCTGCGATCTCGCGACTCGTCAAGTAGAGTGACGATCGTCTGACAAGCCAGACTCGGTGATTGAATTCATTTACGGATTGAGCCAAGTCGCAATAGTAGGGATCGCGAAGATCATTCGACCTCGGATCTGTCATTCATTCGATAAGAGGTGTTGTCGTCGGGGTGATGGGGAAGTGGCGGATTGGAAGAGGAGGGGAGGGGGTATAGAAGGGACCAGAGGGCCTATCGAACGCTTATAATTATCAAGTCGACGACTGTGCAACGTGTTAGTACGCGTCTGCTCGTTGGAATCCGTTCGCTCTGCGACTTATTAATATCGACCAGCACGATTTGCTCATGCCATGAATTATTTGCAGATCTATCCAGGTCTGAAGGAGGAGGGATCTGTCCTTGGCGGTGCCACGCAGAGGGTCACGAGGTAAGTCAGACTGGTGCTGGCTGCCAAATCACGGCCGATCCATCCAATTTCCGAAGCAAAAAACCTCCGCCCCTACCCAATCGTAATCCTGCTCCTCTCATCACGAATACACACTGGCGACGGGCGGCTTTGCATTCCTTTCACGCGCTCTCCATTAGACCGAGCGGGGATCCTTTTGGATTTCAGAGGATACGGGACGCGATCGCGTCACGAAAGTGCATCGAGATTTTCATACGTCTCGCTATTTCCGGATGGCAAAGTACTTATCTAATGGATGCCGAGATTAGATTCGCTATGTATTGTCATGGATTATGGAGTCCTCGGAGCTTTCGAACCAGTAGGCGAGCGGCATCGAGAGCTTTAAAAGGATCGAGTCCATCGACTAGTGATTGAATAGACGAGGAGCCGCAATGCAAATCGTGCGAACGACGAGTTTTATGATTAATAGCGACAAGGCCAGTCAGCAGCATAATTAAATACAATGTACTATTGTGTTGATTGATCGGAATATCGATGCCTGATTTTCAATACGAGAGCTAATAAGCGACCGCGGTGTCTGTAAATAAATATTATTCTAGCAAGCTGACTTATCGATTCTATAAACAAATTCTATAAACAAATGACTCGCCTAACGCTAACGAATATTACGAATCGTGCGCGCCTATGATGCAAACGTATATCAAATTTAATATCGCGTGTAAATCTATTGTTTATTTGGAATAACGGTAGGTAGGTTTTTATGTACGGCTAGTAATATTTTATCGCGGGAAATGCTCCGCCAAATGCTGAAAGAAAAAGAAAAAATCATTAAAGCGAAATGATGTGTAATGAAAGCGTAATTTGTGCATCGCGCTACTTTTTATTTAGCAATGCCCAACAGCGATGTCGTACTTAGGCCATTTGTCAGCGATTATTTGGTGATTAATGTGTACTTTAACTTTCAACGTAGCGCCATTATTACTTTCCTTACTCGCATAAATAGCAGTAAAATATTATCGTCAGCTTCCGGCAAAGTTTGAGTACGAGTACGAGCGCGCGCACCTGCATTACCCCTAATAGGATTAAGATCGTCTCTAATTATCTTAATTATCGTAAGTGGCTGACGCATGCGCATTCGTAGTGGGCCGTAGTATCCCGGGCTGGTTCTACGTGTATGCGCATCAATTGGTCCCAAACTCTAAGAAAACAGGATCGTTGGCTCGGACCTGCGTAAATCACCGCAACTTCCATAGTACTTCCAGGGTCGCTCGAAGTGGATTGCCTTTTTCGTGGCCCTCGACCTCGACGGCGAAATCAAATGACGAATGAACGCATGGGACGTCTTATGCCCGGAACCCGAGAGCAGCACCTCCTACCCAGGATTTCATCCGCGGAATTTCGTTTAAGGCCGCGCTTTCTTTAAAAACCCGTTGTACGGCCTACGCATGCGACTCTGGCCTCGATCGCACCGTTTTCGGTCTTGTTTTTCGCTAATTGTTCGCACTTACATTAATTGAAGAAAGAGAGAGAACGATTGAGAGTGAGACAGAGAGAGAGAGAGAGAGAGAGAGAGAGAGGGACAAAGAGGGGGGGGACAAGTAAGTGGACTATTCACAGGTGTCCAAAGGACTTTCCGAGGTATGGAAATCTATCCTCGTGATAATAATACTCTGTCTCTATCTTTCTCCTCTTGTCAATTTTATGGCCCGTGCGTATTTTGGCGAAAATTAATCACCGTGACGCATGAAATATGTATTCTCTCTGCTATCTGATTGTTAGACTTTATTTCCTTGTTAATGGTTCTATTGTTGCAGGGGTAATAAATCGAGGAGGTGACAAATTAAGCCCATCGATCAATAAATAAATTGTTTTTAAAATATTTTAGTTATTTAGTTTGCTACTTATCTAATGAGACGGCAGGTTAATCTTATTTTATTAAATTTATCTAATACTTACGTGCAAACTTAAAATTATATAAATATCTTATACCATTTACAATAAGCTTAAAGAATTTTCTCGAAAAGCAATAAGAAATTTTGCACGGAATATTTTAATTGAAAGCTGTAATTGCGAGTTAATATAGCTTCGATATTAACAATTTTGATTAAATTCTATATTTATTTGTAAATTTAATGATTAAAACAATAAAGTAATCTTTTTCAAAGCGGTAGTTAATGTATGTAAATCTTCAAGTTGAAATAATTATTATAATTAATGTAAGTATTTATAAGATGAAAACTACGTACTTAATAACACAGAATAGGAAAGAAAATATCGAATGGTAACGGTAACGGTAACGTTTTACAAAAGACTCTCTATGATCTATTAACTTTTTGATTTATTATAATTAAGTATTGCGTGTTTATAACAATTTATCATAAAAGAATCGATATACTCGCGAGATCATGATTCTAAAGCTGTATAAACTTTTTAAAATTACGATCAATTATCGGATTTACACTTCGTCATCCATTTGGAGACAGTAGAATTATTAGGGCAATGAGAATTTTCCGCATAATGTGAAATTTGGCGATCGATTGATGTTTCGGATTCTTTGGGTCTGACGCCGTCCCAGCCCGCGAATTAACATTCGATGAATATTTAGGTTCGGTCTATCGGGACACTTGAAATAAAGTCGTCATTCGCAGGCGGGACGGGTACGATCGATGGGATCCGATAATAATAATTGCACGCTGAGTGTAATTAGGGAGAGAAGACAAACCCGTTCGTTTTCACATTAACCGCGTCCGCGCGGGTCCCTGGACTATTATTAGGCCCGACTACGGCGATGGCGTTTAACGACGCCGCTAATTACGATGGCTCCTACAATCCAGCTCTCGCAAAATTACAAAATTACATGCAAACAGGACCAATAAGCAGAACGCTTATTCGCTAGGAGGATTCTCTGGGACACCGATTCCTTTGTTTCGCGTCTCGTTTATAAATTGCGGTGTACGCGCTCGAGACTACAATGTGTCGCTTTCTCAGGCTCTGAAAGGAAAAGCCACCGACTTACACCGCCAAAAGTTCTCGATTACAGATTTTTCGGCAATGGAGAATATACTAGTTAATTAATAAAATCTTCGAAATATGGCCGACTATGAATTTAAAACACAATACACCGTTTATCATTTAAAGCAACGAGCATCCTTTCATCGAATTTTTTACAAAGAGGTCGTCAACCTCGATATTAAATTATTTTGCACGATGATAATTTGGCCTTTTTTTAATCACGTACAACAGGGACGTTAAAACAAATCTTGTGTAAGTCGATACTTAATCAAGCTGAAGATAGTCGTGGCAAATAAGATAACCGATTGATAAATCAAATTAATCAAATACATCATTAATTAATTAACAATGAATTTATGCATACAAATTGACCAATAATAATGTACCGTCAATTGTCGTTGGGAATTTCCAGAAAATCGAACGACCGGCACAATTAACAGAAATTTATCGTTCCAAAAAATTCATTTCAAACGCTAGTTCCATTGTAATATAAATCGACGATTTCATCGCTTTGTTTCCGCGGAACCGATAATTACCCGATATTTTACCATAAATTATGGGATGAGTCGTTGTATTTAATGCATTTTCACGAGTATACTTTGTAGCTGACAATTATCATCGGTACATCGCAAGCTTACCACTAGGCACATTGATGTTCGTTGAAGTCGGCTCTTAAAAAAAAAAACAAACAAACAAACAAAAAAACAAACAAAAACTAATAGAAAGAGAAAAACAACGAACAAATCGGTCACTACCAAAGCCTCCCAACGGAAATCAATTCGCAAGCAAGAAACGTCCCGCTAAGTAGTGCGGGCTTGCCTCCCTTTTCACACCCCCTCCCCACCCTCACCCCCTTGACCGTCAAGTTTCCCACCATTCATTCTCCTATAGCTCCGAAGTGGTCGATGAAAAACGGCGCCTTCCGGCCGCCCGAATGACTAATGACCCAGCCGTTTGTTTGTGTCCCGGACAGCTCAGAGATCGGGTACGCGGGTTCGCCACCGCGGTCAGCGCTGCTCCGGGGCCGTAGCATCGACTCCGTCGACCGGCCCTTTCATCCCAGCGAGTGGGTGGACGTTAATCTCGAGGTGCCCTGTACGCCCAGGGCGTGCGTCGTGCTCGGCGGACAGCGGCGCCAGAGCGACCTGACCAAGCCCACCGGTACGTATGCAACCGTGCCATGTTACATGGACCAAGTGTGCTACGATGCTCCCTTGCCGCGATTTCTCAACGTCCTCAACGAACGGCAATCCTGGCTTTCGGATCCTGACTTTCGAGAGCTTCACCTTCATTGCGTATATAGCGAGGAAGATTTATTTTCAGGAGCATCTTTCTCGGCTTGGCGCAGCCTATCCCAACGTGGTTTCTACTTTCTCGACTTAGAGCACGTTTCTCTCCACGGAGTCTAGGCGCTCGGCTACATTAATTTTATACAACACTGCAGTGCGTTTCCCACAACAATCGCGGAACTCGATCAAGATTATTCTCATTGGAGGCGGTGTCGCGTCAATGCCGCGGGAGCAGCTTCATTAGTGAAATTCGAGAGTGAAATGGTGGCGGGGTAGACTCGAAAAATCAGGCCTCGCTGATAACGCACCGAGTAATCGTTTTGCACGGGTCTTTGTCTTTGTCTCTCTTTAAGTCCTCCCAATTAGTCCGATTAATTTGCATTATGGTTGGGTAGTGCTAGTGGTGGAGGGGCGGTAGGGATCCAAGCCTGCGTGCGACCAGAAAGCGAGAGAGAGAGAGAGAGAGAGAGAGAGAGAGAGAGTTATATACGGCGATCGAGTCTGTGGAGGCCTCGAACGCGCTCTGTTAAGAGGGAGAGAAGGAGACGACGGTGGGTTGGGAGAAGGCGCGCGCGAGTCGACGTTCACGCACGTATGTCCGCAGGTTGTAGAAGCCCGGGCGCAGCGACGTCGGCGCCTGTGCCGCCGCCACGGAGACGTAAGCGCCGAGAGCGGCGACCGCTGCCCCCGAAGCCTGGCAGCGGGAACGACGCCGCCGATGACGAGTCCGAGCCCGAGCCCCTTTATTCGAAGCTCGGCCCCGCAGACAGAGACCACGAGGACTCGGAAGAGGAGTTTGCCACGGTAGGTGAAAGCGCCATTGACGCGGTATATCGGATCCGGAGCTCGACTACTACTAATACTAATACTATTACTAATATTAATACTACTACTACTATTACTACTACTACTACTACTACTACTACTACTACTACTACTACTACGTCATTCTCAGTGATTCTACTCGGTCGTACCGTTATGCCCTCGATTATTGATGCTTAGCCATTAGCAAGTCCAGAGAAACTTGCGTCAGCCGGGCGATTCACGCTGATAAGGGCCGATGAATACAATTTCGCTTGATGATAGAAAACGATTTTTTTGTAAATAAATTTAACGTCCGAAAAAATTGCTAATCACGATTTTCTCACTATTTCATAATTTCGACTCTGTGATTTTTTGCAAAATACAAATTAATAAAATTGAATTGAGTGAAACAAAAATGGTTTGTTCATATGGAGTGCTGCCAGATTTACCATATCGAATATAATTAAATTATGATGTACAACTGAAATTTATGGAGCAAATAAAATAAAATTGAATTTTGCATAGATCCGTAAAATTCATTATTGATATGTTTATTATTAAAATTTAGTATTATCGATGAATTATATAAAGTAAATATTGATATAACGAATGCCCAAGATTTTTCTAAAGTTTGTTTGTTTTTTTCTAATTTTCTAAAAATCAACCAAGTTTATATTTTACGTACGGATTTATCGATAAGAGGGAGAAAAGTTATCCGCGAAATTGAAAATTTGAGGAAATTAGAATGAGCGTATGTCGAAAGTTTTGACGAGGCCAGGGAAAAGACTTTGTAAAGGATTTCACGAAGATTATTGATGCCCAATTGCAATTTATCGATTTTAAATATCTTCGTTGCAAAGCGTTCGGTTCTTTGCAATGCAATTTGAAAAAGTCTCGGCAGGTTGGAAATAAGTAAAATTTGTATAAAGCTGATTTTGTCCGGCTACCTTTGCACTCGATTAGAAACTTGTTTATCACGGAATTTCTGGCCTCGTCGAGGCGGCTCCACCGCGAAGGTGTCCGTGAAGACAGACGTGCGACATCCTCTTATCGTCGCGTCCACTGTGAAAAAACAGTGTGGCGGGCAGGCAGACCGAACACTTCCTCGAGCTTATCAGTTATCTCGGCAGATCGAGCATATTCTGAAAAAGTGCTCGCTGGAGGACGTGCGAGCGGCCACGAGACCAAAGAACTACAGCGCAACTAGTCTGCCTAATGTCGCGGATCTGCTGGCCAACCGGGGACCGAGGCCCGAGGATGACGCAAGGAGGCTCCTGGGACAGGCGAAGTCGGTGTCGCTGCCGCGGGAGGCAACTCCATTCACACCGCCTCAGGTATGTCATTAGGGACGCATCGTCAATTGGTGCTGGTATTTGTAGTCAAGAGCTTTTTTGTGCGCAGAATTCCGAGGGGAAGTTTTTTGCGAGAGAGAGGGAGAGCGAGGAGCAGCGCGCGGAGGACTTTGTAATATTGAAGGACGAGGTTAGCCCGGATTTAGGAGATGGATTCGAAACTTCCACGCCCGTGAAGGCGAGGCTGCAGCCTGCCGACGATGATTTAGAGGACTTCAAGGACGCGTGAGTCGAACCTTGGGCTTTTAACGATCCCTATAGAAGGGATACGAGCACGATTGTTCAGGAGCTTCCTCATACGTAGGCTTATTATTCCACGTATTTCGAGGAGTGTCGTTGATAAGGAAATTTTCCTAGCTGAAAAATGTTCTCGATATTCTCAATTGACAATTCAAAAGAAGTTTCTTAATGATAAACGTACATGGATATTGTGATAATCTGAAGATAATAATAGTACGTAGTATCGTGTAACATAATTTAAGAATTAAAAGTGACTCTATAAAGTCATTATTCCACGAATGCTTTTGAAAATAAATTTCGATTATTTAAATTGAAATGCCTGCTGCTCTACTACGTCTTTATGGCATTTAAACACTTATGTGCTAGAAAACTTTACGTCGGGGAAAAAAAAAAAACAAAAAATAAAATGCTATATAAAACAGACTTTTCGCTTTAATTAATTTTTTTCGTAAAATATTTTGTGCAAAATTTTATGGAAAATGCCCATAAATCTTGCACAAACGCGTGCAATTGTTTATTTAACTTAACTGGGTACTGGCTGTGTGAAGGCAATAACCATTTCCCGTGATAAATTAGACAAACATTTAAAGTAAATGCTTTACATAGTAAATTAAAATACGGAAATCTCTATTTCACGCATATTTTATGCGTACATTACGGATTAAATTATTTGTAGCATGCGAGAAACAGTTGGGCAATGGTATACAAGCTAAAGCAGCACACAGGGATATTTAAACAAAACAAAACAAAACAAAACAAAAACAAAAACAAAAACAAAAACAAAAACAAATCAAAAACAAAAACAAAAATAAATGATATCACACACGATATTAAATGTTAGCAATAAAGTAAAATAACAATTATGAAAAGGTGGATGATGGAAAATAATTTTGCGGTTACGCAAGGGCCGAATAAAGTGGGCCACGTTGACAAGGGCGTGCGTGCCTAATAAAAATAAAAAAAAAACAACAAAAAACCTCCAAAGCGAATAAAGTGCGTTGTGTTTGTCAGGTCAGGGGCTTCGTCGCCATTACCATGTGTGTCTGCTGGCCGGGAGACATCGAGGAGGGACGAGGACACCGGCTACGAGTCGAGAATCGAGAGCCATCCAGTCTCGGACGTATCGCGGATGCTCGGCGGGAGCAACGAGTTATCGTCGGGCATCCTGAGAGGTGAGGCTTGCGAAAAGCTTGTCGAGAATCGGGTCGTGATGAGTTCGCGCTACTTTTATGGAACCAAGTTAACTTACAAGGAGGAACTTGAAGTTTCCTTTCGACCTCTCCGACAACATTATTATTATAAAAAAAAATAATTGCCCCAAGACTGCCAAGTAATTACAATTAATGCTTGAATTGGTATTGAGATGCTCCCATTTAATGCACATTTTATAAGGAACATGGTGCGGAGCATCGTGTGTAATGCAATTTTATAATATTTCAAAATGTAAATTAACAGATTTGGCAAATTTTTGGGTATGCAAATTTTTCCGCGTCCTGATCCTCGTACGAGCATAGTTAAGCTAATTGACATCCCGTAATTTTTCTAAAACTTAAGCCCGATACATCTGTTAATTAACAATTAAAATGCTGCTCTTTATCATCTCTGTAATTGTACGTGGAACGTCAATGTACATAACGTGAAACGAGATTTGAAATTGTTGTATAAATAATTATGCCAATGGGATCACGTATAATGAAATTTGTATTAAAATTTGTACGAAACTTTTATTAACGCACACTTACGAATCACTTATTTTAATACTCTTTTGTAATGGTATCGAAAAGTAGTTAAACCTGAGTTTGATGTCTCATTCATTCCCGTACATCATACCTTGAAAAAAAAAACGTAATGATTTTTTAAATGTATACGCGCGCATGCGCATGCACAAACGAATTATAAATTGAAGGTCGAGAAAAACTTTAATCTTTGGCCCTTGCAAGGTGGCTACGATGAAGTTAAATAATAATAATAATGATAATAATAAAATGAAAAAAAAAAAAAAAAAAAACGTTCGCCACAAGTAATTTCTTAGAAATGAAAAAATCCTCGTCTCCAGTTGCAAGTCGTACGTGTATGGTCAAGTTGCGCTTGGACTACAATTCGAGAAATGTCGCTCTATCCGCTTTAAAGGCAAATCGGGAAATGGCATGGAAAATGAGAGAGAGAGAGAGAGAGAGAGAGAGAGAGAGAGAGCGAGGCCAGGTGAATCGAGACCATAACGGTCGGACCTCGATCATGACGAGTCGTTAATTTTACAGGCGACGGCGTGGACTCGTTCGAGGAGTCGGAGAAGAAGCGCGTACTCGCCGTCGCGTCGGTACAGCGCACCATCTCCGAGGAGTCGCTGCCCCGAGAAATGCTCGACGAACTCGACGAGGATGACGAGCAGCAGCCAATGCGCCCCGAGGACGAGAAGTCGAGTAAGGTGATTAGGAGCAACGGACTCGACCAGCCGATCAACGCCAACATAATTCACGAGCAAGACACGCCATCGCCCAGCCCCATTTTAAACTCTCAAGGGGTACAACACGACGCAACTTTCTTACGTCCAATGCTTAACTTGAATGCTCCTATGCCCAGTTTTTAGAGGGAGAGCCTTGGCTCGATTTTATGATTTTTTAACGGGACATCTTATCTCAGCTCAGAGACTCCTAGTTTCGCGATTATTCGTACAAAGTCAACGGATACCACGTCTTTTTCTTTTAACGTTTCAGCAATTCATTAACAATCGACTCTATCGACTGTTGGCAAGTTAATCTCATCGTGCGACTCTTACCTCATTGCGACAACTAGCATCCGGAAATTGTAAAATTGGCATTCGCGCGAATATTAAAATTCATGGTTTTATTACAAATGTTCCATCGAATAAAAAGAAAAAAAAAACAAAAGGAAAAAAAGGAAAAAAAAAACAGAGAGAGAGAGAGAGAGAGAGAGAGAGAGAGAAAAAAGTAAGAAAGTCTCACGGGCAAAGCATGTTTTATATGAATCGGTACGAAACTGAGAGAATCAATATCGATGTCTCGAGTTTTTTAATATCACTTCTGTTGACTCTTCTTCCAAGTTTTCAAGTATTATTAAAGAATTACCATATCTTTTGTTATAAATTCGCGCGGGACACAAGATTAATATAAATAAATCATGAGTAAGTAATTTGAGAGCGAAAATTGTACGGTATAACGATACGCATATACTAAGTATTGATATACGTGAAAACTTGAGATAACGACATTACAATGCCGAGACGTAGAAAGCCAAGGATGAAAGATAATACGGATTTACATCCTTTTGGTTGATTTTTAAAGGATTTCTATCACTCGACATTATCATAGACACGTAATGGTAATATTTAATATAGTCTTTGTAAATGCGTATGTTTTCACGAAGGAGATGACTGGGTTGTCAGAAGTAGTTGTCGATCTTAAATTAAAGAACGTGTTAATGACACCTGCCTACTTGACAATCAATGGCCATTGGAAAAAACAAATTGTTAGCCCCATGCGAATGAAGTAAAAGTATACCGCTAGACGAATGGGAGAGGCGAGGGGCGGTAAAAGTATTATTGTAAGGAATGGCGATTAAACGGATTCCCTTTAATTTCAAGCAGTCGAATGTAGTGGAGAATCCGGAGTCGACGAGGGAAGGGAAGTCGAGTGGCGTTGCGGCCATTGGCAATCCGACGTCGATGACGCCGAGTTTGATGGAGCTCGAGGTCGCCCTCACCGACATGCTCGAGAAGAAGGACGAGCGGGAGCGGGAGGCCGCAGAGGACAAATCTTCGGACAAGTTGCCGGTGCCGCAAATCGCGGCTCTCAAGAACGTCGAGGAGTCCGAGCCCTCTAAGATCCGGCTAATCGATTTCCCAAGAGCCGACAGGACGAATCCCTTCAACGATTTCAAGAGCGACGATCACGGTCCGAGCGTTTTTACTACTTACTTCCGCCCGACATGTAGACAAGTATCGGCCGAGCTGTCGGGATCGCCGTCGCCGAGGCTTCTACCTCTCTTAAGGCCGATAAGTTCTAATTTATTCGACTGAGCTTGCGATTGGCTTGTCAAGTTTTTCCTCCTTACCTGCTTCGACGCTGAGCATTAATTTTTTTATCGACAATCGAAGCTCCGACTTTAATAATTTCGCCGTGTCGCCGATATGGCAGTGCGGATAATTGCTGATATAAATCTACTTGTCTTAATGTTGCCTGCTTCAGTATAATATTTTTTCATAGATAAAGTTTCGGAAAAATATCAATCGACATGGAAATTTTGTCGATCGGTTATTCTCATTAAATTTTGTGCGAATTATTCGTTATGTTTGAATGAAAAATTGCACGATTAGTAACGTAAGGAATGAGAGAAGGTGAAGTATGGGATAATTTATTATGAGGTGTCGATTATCTTAATGATATGGTGAAATTAAACTAAGATAATGATTTTTCTTGCATGGCTAAACCGTATTATTTGATATTTGTGTAAGTAAAATTCTAGATTTACGAAACTGCTCAATTAAAGAAATAATGGAATATTAGTAACGGTAATGTAACGCAATTGTTAAAATATTAATCTCTTTTCATAAAATTTGTATTTCCATTGGGTTTAGTATTTAATAAGAATTTTTTCATTAAAGCTTCATTAAAGCATTTTGTAATACCAATTTAAAAGAGAGTGAGAGTATCGATGGAAGGGAGGCAGTTAGAGAGTTAGAGATATAGAGTGACATTGTTATTATTATTATTATTATTATTATTATTATTATTATTATTATATGTTGGGCCGTTTCAGAACCCCCGGAGAAGCCAAGTCGTCTTCATAGGATCAGCCTTATGGAGGAGCCAGTGATCGAGGAGTCGCAGCTCGTGCCGACTCCGCCGCGGAGACGACACAGGAGCAAGTCGAACTTGAATATGTCGAGCGAAGCATTGCATACGTACGGCGACAGATTGATTTGAGATTGTCGGCGGTTAGTCAGCCCTCCGGGGGAAGGACAGGGAGGCGGTTGTTAAGGTGAAATCGAAGGCGAAGGCGATGGTGGTCGACCGCCTCGAGATTTTCGATCGGCTCGTTAAGAGTTGCCGCGCGAAATCGGAGGAAACTTGAAACCACTGCCCTACGAAACTTCTTAACGAGCGCGCGGGGAGAGACGGCACCCTTGTATTCCCCAGGGGGTGGCAGCGTGTCCAGACTGCAGAGTCCAGAGGGGTGGCCGAGCAATCGGTAATAATATTCGCAGCTACGATCGTAAGCGCCAAGCGACTGCTGATGAGACCATCGCATCTTATGAGCTTCTTCGATTGTCTTCTTTGCGTTTTCTTAGAACAGGGAAGAAAGTGAGAGAGTTTGCGGGTGTGTGTGTGTGTACGCGTGTGCGTGTGCGTGTGTGTGTTTGCGAGAGAGAGAGAGAGAGAGAGAGAGAGAGAGAGAGAGAGAGAGGCACGCGCCACCGCTTTTTACGTCTTTCTTTTTTAAATCCATAACGAGAACGTTATGCTCGCGGTTTGCCGATTCTATGGTCATTGGAAAGTATTTTCTGATGCAGGACGAATTATAGTTGAAGGCTCGTAAAGTCAGATTGAGTTGAAATTAGTAAGCGCCCGTAGCTTTGATTTGTTTTGATGTGCAAAGCTAAATTTTAAATGAAATATTGACGAATTGAAATTGGAAAATTTCATTTTCGTTTCTCGAGTCACTGAATTCGCAAACGCCAATTATTATATCCACGGATTTCATTTTATTATTCGTCAATTTAATGACAATCAATAGCATTATTTAAATAATAAATAAAATAGTGCAGCCTTGAAAATGACAGGTATTCATAATAAACTGTGCATACTCCGTCATTTAAAATTCTAAGCCTTTATAATGACGTATAATATTCAGTTCACAAAAGTTCATATAGTGAGTGAGAGAGAGAGAGAGAGAGAGAGAGAGAGAGAGAGAGAGAGAGTGAAAAGAAAATCACAAAATACAATAAATTATAAAGTCGTATTAAATTTTGGAAACATATTTTTCTTGAAATAAGTGAGCAATTAATTAGGTTTGAATGTAGAAAAAATGTAAATAAACTTTACGTGAAATCATAATTTTACATTTGTCTTTTGATTTTCGTAATTTGAATTTCTCTTCGAAAGAAAATGATTGCTGCAAATATTTTTACAAAAACTAAAAAAACAAAAAACAAAAAAACAAAAGCAAAAACAAAAACAAAACAAAAAAAGAAGAAAAGCAAAAAACTAGAAAAACTATTATTGCTTATCTTTATATAGTCCTAAATATTGTAATTTATTATATTTACTTTTAAAAATTAATTATATGATTTAATAGTCATTCTATTTAAGTAGCTCTGAAAATTTTTGTCTGATCGGTGTATTAGCAATTATTTAATATGTTAATTAGAAAATATGTTTGCCTCGTTAAAATTTTCTTATTTATCATCTTTTAATTCCATTAATATATAGATTGTGTATTAACTCAGATATATATAAAAGAAGAAGAAGAAGAAGAAGAAGAAGAAGAAGAAGAAGCAAAATTGAATTTCATAATAAGAATAACTGATAATTAATTAAAATACTTAATTTGAAAATTAACATTAAAATTGTAAAATATTTATTTGATATCGGAGCGTATGATTTGTCGAAATCTATTCTGTCCCACTGTGTCGGGCTACTAATTAGATTAAATTTTTTTTTTATAAATTAGAGCGAAAATATTGACTAATATAAGAATAACCTATAAAAGCAAGTACCACTTGATTAAAGTCTATGATTATGTATAAGACAAAATTTTCATATTACGTGAGCAATCGCGATTATATTCTGTATAGATATTACTTCGTTAAATAAGCTTTTTTAGAAGTTTTGGCCTGACCTCGTTGACGCACGAATTTGAAATGCAAACAGCGTAAGTGCGTTACAATAAAATATGTATAGCAGGTGCTTCGAATACCACATTATATGTACTTAAAATAAATAAAACATATTTTAGAAAGTTCTTACGTTCTTTTACTTAAAGGTAATTTTATTTAATTACATTAAACTTGTTGTAATTTTTAATTAAGCGTTAAGTATATTCCATAATTCACTCAAAGCTTAATATAACTTGCAAACATTTTAATTTTAAGATAGTTGTTCATTGGCATTTTACATTATGTTAAATTTATTTGAATTATTTATTAAATATTAGTAGCCCATAATATCCATTATCATATTATGATGTAAACGGATATGTATACAATTGCTAATAAACTTGGCAATAGTTTCAGTAATACAATCATATAATAAATAAAAGAATTTTATATTTTGTTCGTCAAGTTTACGCAAATATTATTATTGTAAAATTCGTAATCTAATTGATATTTTTTCACATTGATAGCATATTGAATTTTTATGTTGCTAAATAAGAGAAATTTTTTTTAATAATTACAATGAAAACCTTTATCAACGATTGTTTTTCGAATTGTTCTTCGTTGGGTTATATGGTCCTCATATTTAATAATTTTTAAATACTTTCTAATACTGTAAAAAATGTGTTAATAAATTATTTATATTTAAAGATCATTTATGAAATAATAAAATTTCATATTTCAGCAATAAATTGTATGTGATGTGTTTCTGAGTCAGGCATGTATATATATTATTTGGAAATTTGTATGTAGTTATTATTTTTTATTTTGTATTTATAATAAATCAGTGGATACGAATTGGTTTTAAAATTTTATAAATGTAACATCTGAAAAATGTCAGTCATAATGTCAATTTCATTCAAAGAATTGCTCTTGTAATGAGAAAACAACATTATTCCAGTTAATTTCCAAACTGTGCCGGAGATGGGCGTTTCTTTAAAAATTTTCTAAAACCTTCCGTAAATATGTATCCTTCAATTATTAATTTTCATTATGGTATACAATTTTTTGTTTCAAGAATGCATTCCGTTGATTTAGCGATAGGCAAAATCGTTTAACGAATAACTGCGCGCATCAGCGAGATTATTAAAAAGTCCGTATGTCAGATAAAGCCGTATACACGTAATGGCGAAATAGAAAAACCGAGGATTCAAAAGGCGCTTCTCCCCTTGGAATTTTATCAGGCACAATGGCGAGCGGAGGACAATTAAAATATTTCCCAGTTGCGTTACCAAAGAAAACCGGCCCGCAGCACTCGAGTAACGTTATACCATCGAGTCGTACGTGCGCGCATTAACATTATCGCGTCGATGAAAAATCACGAGATGGCCGTTAGCGAGCGGCCGCGTCATATTTTCCTTTAAACTCGGTGGCATATATTAATTTACACCGAGGCGGCGGCCGTTGGGGATTTTCATATGCCGCGGCTCCGGCGTGATAAAGAATTTTCATTTTCATTGGTGTGTAATCAGGATTTTACGTTCTAATCCCTATCGTCCCGTGAAACGGTCTCTCCTACCCCCCTACCCCCTCACTCACTCTCTCTCTGTCTATCTCTCTCTCTCCCTCCCCCCACCGATCCCCATATCCCCATATCCCCATATACCTCTACTCATCACCCTCTACTCCCTACTCCCTATACACCTAGTCTATGCACCCTTACAACCAACAACCAGCCCCTCCCATCGCCGCTGCCCTCGTCGCCTCTTGCCCGTTACCCCGCGCGAGAAAGCCAGTGCGCGTTCATATTTTATTTTCCGGCCGCGATGCCTTTGGCTTAACCATTACTTTTTTAATTATCTCAAGCGTGGAACTCCCTCATCTCGTGCTTAACGGACCGGTCTTAATCGCTTTAAGGATCCTCCCGGCTCTTATCCCTCTTCTCCTTCTCGTTCTTCAGCAAAACTCCCTCCCACGCTACCCTAAACCTCCCATGGTGTGTACCACCCACCCTTCCCACAATCGCAGCCTGTTATTCACCCTCGACATCGAGAGTAAACTCAGCCTTTAAATTTCATCGAGAATTATGCCTCGTGGCGGTCCTTGTTTTAATCAGTAATTCCGTTTGACCGGTGTCAGATTTCCGGAAGCTTTGGCTGAGCTAAGACACCCCATTCGTGAACCAGAGACCGGCCCTTCGTGATTTCGTAATATCTATTATCGCGCCGGCAGCAGGAGGTCGGGACTTCTTGCTTCCCTAGCAACACCGTTAACGTCTTCCTTCCATCAAATCCAATACCTGGATCTTCGCAGAGATAATGTGGTCTTAAAAGTTTTTAAAAAATCCTTTCAGTAGAAAGGAGAGGTCTTACGAATCGGAATTTTATTTTAATTCAAATGTCTGCCGAGTACTTTACTCATCTTAAAAAGTCTCTGCAGTTAATTTTGAAAATGTTTCATAAATAGCCGGCTTTTCAAAACACTTTTTCATTTGATAATTTTATTATTTACCATTTCATCCTGTCCGTTTATTTATATCAATAATCGACAAATACGTCGGACTTACTTCCCTCGAGTATTTAAGGAATAGGCCGATTAGCTGGATGTTGACAGATCACGTGATACTATGTACAAACCTAACCAGGAATTCGCTGAGTGAAAACATCGATGCAATTGACACGGAAGATTCTACTTTATTTATGGGAATGTCCGACCGACTTATCCAAAGTCATTATTCGCTCACTTTTTCTGATGGATGAGAGACATCTTGGAGACTATAGACTCGTGTAATTATGCCAAAATCAAGAAACGAATGGATGTGGTTGGGAAGTAACGACGATCGAGAGATATGACTTTGATTTTTCTAACCCAACGAGTCTTTACATAATCAATACTTGAAAGCGTCTCAAGGTAATATTGGAATTGCGTAACAGCGAACTATTATTTTCAAAGTAAATGTAATATTATATGAAACGGTAAATGTTTTTCAAAATATTAAATTTCTCTGACTTATTTTCAAAGCCTTTCAAGTTCATCTAGCTTGTCTTTCGACATCCCTTCTACCCGTTTCAGACATTTTCAACATACTTAAGCTTCTATTCAAAGCCCTAAATAAAAACAATAACAAACAAATAAACAAACAAAGAAACATAATGCAAGTCGTTGACAGGGGCTGAGAATTTGCTCGAAATAAGAAAGAATGAAAAATAGTTCGTTTAAATATCCACGTTAGGGAATTAAGTGTAATTTTGATTGAATAAAATCTGTTTTTATGTTGAAAGTTTTTCTTACTATTAATCGGAGCTTATTCGATTTGATGTGATTTTAATCTGCACTTTCAATTTTTAATTAAATCAATGCTTTACTTAGACGAGTTAAATAAATCCAATTATAAATTCTTAGACTGACAATTTGAAATATTTTGACATAATGTAAAATATATTGCATTTAAATTGAGGTAATG